TTCCTTAATGATATCCATTCGCGCAGGTTATCCCAACCGAGGCTTGCGTGTGTTCATGTTTTGCGCCGTGCAACTAGATTGATACCACTTGCTGTCTTGCTTTTGATGTTGTTGGTTGATCTACGATCACTAGTTTGATATTTTGTGTTGATACCCGAAGGGGAGGACTGGATTTGGTGGCTTCAACTCAAATCGAGCCCGTTTGTTGACTGTTTGCTTGGAGTGTGTACGCCATGTATACTTGCGCACCGCATCATAGTAATAATTAATAGAATCAATAATGCGTTTGTATGATTTGAGCAGTTTTAGTAGACTTTGGTCTTGACGAATTCATCCCGAATTTGCATGTGAGAAGTGGATAAGATAGCATATAGAACCAAGGTGCTCAAAGCCCTGCTCCCGAACTTCAGAGCAGGCCGACTAAGTTTTTCTGCCTATGGGGCTCAGTTGTGGGCCAAGGCGCCATGGATGGCGTAGAGAACATTCCGTCCTTTCTCAAGGAGTCGAGGCTTGAGGGTTCAAACTCAATTGTACAGAGTAGTTTCGATAGTCTCCTGACCGTGCGCCTTGGACATGACATCAGTGAAGCAGTGCCTTCCTTTGATTGATTATTCACCTACATGCAGGATTCATACAACCTCCTGTCTACAAAAGCCAGGTGACATCGAAAACGGACAAGCGAACAAAATGTTGGCGAGTGTTGCCGACTACGGCGATTCCCGGTAGGGATGATCCGTAGGTTCGTTCGTGCATGGGTCGTGGACTGCAGATGTGGATTTCCGCAAGGTGCAGAATGTGGACAATGGACGCGATTGACCCGAGGGTTATTCTAGACTGTTTGGCTTGCAGGCTTCGCTTAGTGAGAATCTGACCCTCCTTGATGAAAGGGTTGTAGGAAACTGTTACAGAGTACTCTGTAGATATACGTATGGTACCTTCTCAAGGCTAGAAAGTTGCTAGGAGTATATATAAGGGTGCGGATAACTGTCCTTTTCTCCAAACTGTCTGTCGAGCCACTCGTCTTCTGAGAATTGCCTGGAAAAGTACTTACTACTACTCAAAAAGATTGTGCGAGCTGATAGAGTTTGGACTTCGGAGATAGTAGACCGAAGTCCACGCCCTTTGGTGACACCAACGCCCGAATGGGCAATTGGCGGGGAGAGAAAAGGGAAAGTGATATGAGTGGAATAACCCGCCCGATCCCTGATTTTCCTTGTTTTTTTATCTTTTTTCCCTCAGCTCCCTTATTAATCCATTTTATTGTGCAAGACACTGATTGGTTCATCTGGCGATGGCGTGCTGAGACATGAGGCTCCCAGGCCACCAGGCTGCCAGTCTTGAGCACTCAGCCCCCTCCACGTCCCTTGTGACTTGGGACTGATTATTAACGGCCTGCGTATGCCGTCTGGAGTGTGGAGTAGATAGGCGTCTGGGTCCGTGGCTAAGATGAAATTGGCTTTATATGACGGACACGAAGCTGCTGGCTTGCGTATTCACCCAATGTAATATTCATGAGACAGTCAAGGGAGGCTGTGATGAAACTGGGCTTTCTTAGTGCTGTTGTGGAATTGATGCCTGGATTCTGGATACGATGTTGCCCCGTGTTATTGGTCAATGGGTCGTGAAGAGGTACCTCTTGCCCGGTACCGAGTACGCGGCGGAGTAAGGATGGTCCTCCGTATCCTACAGGGGATCCAGATCACGGAAGCATCATTCCAGGGCTGTCAATTGTCAATGATGGATTTCAGTGATACTCATCCTCGCCGTATGTAAGATAGATATCTGTTCGAGGATCTCTAATAATCATGTCAATTGAATTCAATTGAAGGCATCTTTATGCTGCACCCTGCTCGACAGGTACGTACCAGAAAAGTACCTACCTACCTGCACAGGAATGCCGCCCTGGGGGCGTGTTCCCGCGGGCCCGACGGACCAATCATCGCGGCACATGGTCCTATGACTCACACCTGCTGACTGCGTTCAGGAGCGCTATCCCGACACGGTTAGTGCAGTAAGTGGGACATTGTTGCGCCGCCATTGGCTGCCGGCGGAACCGCACGGCGCACACAGACAGGTTAAACTAGCACACTCGAGGGTTTTAAGAAGTGCCTGATTTCCCGTCGCTGCCTGGCGCTCTTCTTTTCCCTTTTCCTTTTCTCCTCCATCTTTTCTTACCTCTCAAACCATCATCATCTACATTTTTTTAACATCTTCACCATACAACCAAACAATTATCAAGAATATCAGTCTCAGTATCCATTGCAAAATGGCTGCCTTTTAAGCTCCTCCCCCAGAACGAGCTCGTCTTTCTCTCGTGAGACAGACACCATAGATCCTTTACGGTCTTCGTCACTTTCCAACATCTCCTCTCAATCTTCCTCAGAGTCTCCTGTCCCAGGACCTCTGAACTTTAGCATCGCTTCGCGTAGCTCAAGTTCTTCTTTGAACAACATTCTCCCGTTCGACGTCACGTCGTTCACCACGGATAACTATCAGCAAACATGGCTCCCCACGCCCCCGCCCCAGCAGCCTTCGGCCCAGAATCTGAATTCGAATTCCAACAACGACAACAGCAGTTCCCCGCAGGAGGACTTTGTGCTCTATCCCGCCCCGTGTCCGCAGCCTCGTTTGAGAGACTCGCGTGCGCCAGTACTTCCGAGTACAGCCCCTAGATCTGTTTCATACAATCCTTTCCTGGTCCGACCTCAGTACCAGCAGCCCAGACGGCACTCGCTCAGTCTGTATCAGCAACTTCAGCAACAGAAACTTTCGGGTTCACCTGTCCAGGTTCCTCGTGTGACCAGGCTTCACTCACAGTCTACCGGGTATCCTCTGTCCTCGTCTCTTCGGTCTAGTCCCTCCAGCCGGACGCACTTTCAGCGTGTCCACGCCGCGTCTGCGCCTTCGAATTCACCAAATCCCAATCGTCCTCCTGTTCCATTGTTTTCAGCCGCCAACGGCACTCAATTCAGTCAAAAACAGCTGCTGCAATTACAACAGTTTTATCACCGCCGCATCATGTCGACTCCCAACATCGCTCAAGGTGAGCTAGCAGAAGGAATATTCGTTTCACCTTTGTCTAATTCCGCAGCAGATATGCCTGACTTCTTCGGTCTGCCCTCGAATGACTTCGGGGATGATTTCGAGTTGAGCACTGAACCCACCATGCTTTCTCCCAATCAGATCCCCACTGGCCTCATGGTTGCCAAGGACTCTGTGGCAGGTGCCCCTTCGGGCACCATCTCGCCCAAGGACTTATTCATGGATGCGTCGGCACCCCCGTCGACGTCGTTCACTGATCTCAGCACTCCTTCCTTCGAATCTCCTGGTTATTTCAGCCAGGACACTTCGCCCATGTTCCCCACCGATCTGGAGCTGGGCCCTGGCTCCGAGGAGTGGGGTCCGCTGTTCCCTGCTCAAGATGACTTCTCCACGGCCTTCGACTCCGCCGCCCTGGATGTCGCACTAGCTCTCTCCCAACCCGAGACTAAGCCCACAGAGGAGGTCTCTGTTCCTCCGTCTCCTGCGGTTCGCAACTCTGCTTCCCCTGCTCCTTCTCCTGCGCCAAGCAAGTCCGGTGTTAAGCACTCCACCGTCGCCGGTGTCAATGCTCGTCAACGCAAGCCATTGCCCCCTATCAAGGTTGACCCCAGCGACCCTGTCGCGTTGAAGCGTGCTCGCAATACCGAAGCTGCTCGTAAGTCTCGTGCTCGCAAGCTCGAACGCCAGGATGAGATGGAACGACGCATCCGTGAGCTCGAGAAGTCTCTGGAAGAAGCTCAGCAGCGTGAGCAGTACTGGAAGGCCCTTGCCCAGAACAGGGGCTGAACGATGATCGATAGCTTATCTTGATGACATGCTGCGTTTGTGATATCTTGTTTGTTTCTTTGTTTGCTGTTTTTCTCTACGTTGGCTTCTAAAATTGGGACGTGCAAAATGGGATCTGTGGTGGCGGGGGCTCGAGCCCCTCGTCAACCGAATGCCAGAAGTACCAGTCAGTCTCCGCAGGAATGGTTACCTGACGATGACGCTTCTGGCAGGATAAAAGTTTTCTTTACTTGATGCCTTGAATGGTGGGCAATTGAAACACCATCCTGCTTCTTATCATTTCGGGTACTCTTCGCCTGGCTTGCTTCTTGCAAACATCCTAGTCCTCATCTAGGGTGCTGTTTCTATTTCTTTATGTTTCTTTTAATGGTCGGTTCTGATGTCTCCTGCCAAGCAGGATTGACTCGTGGCCAATTAATACTTTTCCTTGCTATTGCCCTGTCAGTCGCTCAATTCCATGAATGCGAGTTTTGTCGACTTGGCTTCCTGTTTCAACATGTCCTGAGTTTTACCAGAGACTGTCTTTACTAAATTGAAATCAATTATGTCGCTCTCTACTATTTTCCCAGCGTAGTTGTATCTCGCTCGTGCCAGGTTACATTCATCTTCAGCATGCGAGCATCTTCGCCTACGCTACTGCTTGAAGAGTATTAATACCGAAGGCGGTTGAATTTACTGCCTACGTATTGCACAGGGTCTTAGAAAAAAACTACGAGGGTGAATGATTATGATTAATCCTGCTCGAACTCAGCTCAGACTTGCCTTTTAACCCGTCATCGACTCAAAACCTCTTGATTCTCGGAAACCTGCCATCGCCCCGCATCATCCATGCCCTGACATACCACAAGGAACATAGTAACACCCATACCCAGTCTTCCAATCTCGTCTCTCATAAACACACTCAACCGATATACAATCCAGCCCACAGCGGGAGGATTACATCTCGGAATGAGTGGCTTGCGATGAAACGAGCGGTAGAGAGGGAGTGTCTGCTCTATATGGTAGATTGCACGACAAGGGATGAATGACGGGCAATGAAAGGCTAAGAGAAAGGGACAGAAGAGTTAGTCTCGGAAGTATCTGATCAGTGTTTTGTCATCACAGCTGGTCGCGTCATGCGCAGGGGTTACATGTGGTTGGTAATGGTGTGGTCGAGGACAGGACTGTTGTATTCAGCTCAGTGCATCGGTTCCTTTGGTTCTACCCTTTTCCATCTTTGCTGTTCTGGAGCCGAATTGGATTGCTCGTTTCTTTTCCCGAGCGACAGTAGCCATGCCCAGCTTCAGGGACAGGAGGCGGAGCGCTCTCTTCTCTGGGTCGATGCCGGTATAATCCACACCAGTGGTTTCTGATGGTTCTGGGACCCCGAAGCCGCATTTCTCCCATACGGGGGCTTCGAGCACGTAGGAGACGAAATCTTCGTCTAAGAACGGGTATCGCGCCTCGCGACCCCAGTTTGAGAGGATCCGATCATCGCGGCCGAGATTTCGCTTGCCGAGACGACTGACGTCCAGATGGATCTCGTCAATGAGGCCCCTAAAACCGTCGCGGGCGAACGCTACTCCGTGTCGCGCATAGCCTGCGAACAACTCATCTGCTCCCAGGCCGGAGAGAAGTACTCTCGCTGGGCTGGTGTACTGTGTCGGCTCGGACGGTGAATTCCGACTATTGACGGCCATGCCTCGTGCGCGAGAAGCAAAGTACAGCGCGCACGCAATAGACAGGTCCATCTCTGTATTGTGAGGTCTCATCAAGCGCTTCACCATATCACGGTGCGCGACAGTCTCAGTGTAGGGTATGTCTATTGCGACGAGGCGCCAGTTGCGGTCTGGGCAGACTCTCTGCAGTTCTGCGAAGGCTGCGCGACCCGTAATGCGATCTGGACAGCTTTCGTAGACCGATGCCGTTGCGCCCTCCTTGCCAGCAGCTGCGGCAGCAACTCGCGGGTTCTCGAAAGCGACGTTGAGAAGATCAATTGTCTCATTTTTGGGAAGTATGTCATGGGACAGTCTGGCAAGTAGAGTGCAATCAAGGCCACCAGAGAACAAAACGGCGACTTTCACATCACTTTTAGTGATGGATGGTGGTTCGGGCACCTTTTGAATTCTAAGGTGTAACGATTGACAAAGCCTTTGCTCAAGCTCTTGGATGGCGTAAGAGTCGATTGTCAATGACGGGGGCGTCTCATTCGGGACAGATTCGTTCATGTGTGGTATTGGACTTTTCTGTCTTTCTGTCAGCGATTGCGTCGATCGAGGAGGAGAAAGCGTGTATACCAGGCAGCTGGCAGTTGCATCTTTATGCTCCCAGCGGAGAGTTTGAATGGCGTCAGGATTGAATTGAATGGCACCAGATACAAGAGCATTCTGCAGTACGTCTTGTTTAAAGTCAATAAAATGCACCCCGTCTGTGTCAACTTCCTCGAAATGTGATGACGAGGAACTATCGCAAATACTGCAAATTTTCAGATTTCCAGAATCGTTTAGACCTTGCAACAAGGACCGTCGTCCGAGGCAGTCCCTACTGAAATATAGCCTTGAGTTCACTGCATCATAGAAAACAAAGGAAAAGGGACCTGTAATGTTACTTATGACGCCCGCTATTTTCTGTACGGGATCTCCATAATGGACAGCGTCCAACGACGAATGCGTAGCGCGCAGAAACGACTGAAAAATGGACTCAGTATCATTATCTTCGATAGGTTCGCCAGCTATCTTCCAAGCCTCGCCATTCCAGCAGAGCACGGATTGCGTAGAAGAATCCACAAGTGGTTGAGCATAGACATGATCTCCTCTCAATGAAAGAACCGTGGAGATGAATGTGAGAGTGACGGTCACCCTCGTTTGGCCCGTATGACTCAAAGACAATTCCTGTTGTCTTGTATGCACTTGGTAGCTGTCGGGTCCCCGGTTGCGCAGTAGATTGCAAGTCTCTTCATTTGGGAGCACTGACCCATTGGTGCTCAATGAGAAATAAATCCCACACATTGCAGCACAGTGGCTGCAAATACAATGTAGCAAAAATCCTGGTTCCGGCGACCAAAAGGCAAAAGAAGATAGATTGAAGTCAACCTCGGTGGCCGGATCTCGGGGCAACGATGATCCACGTAGCTTCGTGGCAGGTGGTGATAACCAAATACTCCACGCTGCCTAACATGGGTCCGATCGACGTTGTTTCACGCCCGGTCCTAGGTTAAATAGACATATGCTACTTTGAATATCCCATTGTTGTTTGAATGGTTTTTCCTTGCTGCTTCTAAGCTTGACCGCTGCGTGCTGGATATTCCCCATAATGATCCGTTACCTCGTCTGAATCTCCCTCCTTCCCCACCGAGTGACCGAGCTTCTACATTGATTGCCGGCGTGCATGCAGATTGCTTATGTCTGAACAAGCGATTTTTACGACCCCGGCTCCGGATGGACGACCGGATTCTCAGTGGGATGTTCATGACGATCAAATAAATTCGAATCAACAGCAAGCGACACCGTCAGGTACCGTATTGTCGGTGTCAGCGCATAATGACCCCTCAGCGACACACGAACATTCAGATCAGATCGACCAGTTGGGTGAAAAGAAGGATATTCCTCAAGATGGATCTTCAACCTCTGCGTTTGACTCGCCAAACATGACGTCGGCGAAATTCGCTCCAGGTTCCTTGAAATCTACATCCGAACCCCAGGGGACGTTGTCAGCGCGCATGGAAGGATTGTCGGTCTCGACGAATACAACAGAAACCGGTTCAATAGTAGACAGCGATGTGCCTCCGCCTCCCCCAGAAAAAGACGAATCCTATCTCAGTACGAAATCCCAGCTTGCACCGCCCCTGCAGACGTCCGTGAATGCGACTTCTGAATTGAGCGAGAAAGAGCTACCGGATGTACCGGGCCATGGAGAGAAGGAATATAAACGGGACGCTGGCATGGATGGTACTCGAGAGGATGACTCTGAATCCGAGATTCAGAGCATCATGGGCCAGTTTCAGGACCCTGAACGCAGGGGCAGCCAGGAGCAGTTGATGTCTCCTCGTTTGGAGCTGGCTGAGCAATTCCTTGGAGGCCAGGGTCATTTCCCGCCACGTCATTCGAGTCTTTCAAAGTCAGTAGAGTCAGGCCCTCAGGCTGCACAGGTGAATGCAGGGACACCACCTTCGGCCGTCGAGAAGCCACCTGCTCCTATTTCGAAGAGCGCACGTAGAGCTTCCGAGGATCATCCAGCACTGACTCGACGATCTTCTACGTCGACTGTTCCTCCGCCTCCGCCAGAACCTGAGCCCGATCAACCGTTCGATTTTCATCGTTTTCTGGAGCAACTCAGACACCGCACTGCAGATCCTGTGGCCAAGTTTCTCCGCTCATTCCTTAATGAGTTTGGAAAAAGGCAGTGGATGGTACATGAGCAAGTGAAGATCATTAGCGACTTCTTGACCTTCATCACCAATAAGATGGCCATGTGCGAGGTTTGGAGGGATGTTTCCGACAGCGAATTCGATAACGCGAAAGAGGGTATGGAGAAGCTAGTCATGAATCGATTGTATTCGCAGACCTTCTCCCCTGCTATACCGGCTCCTCCCTCAATCCCAAGAAGTGCAAGCAGAAGCAGACGAAGAGAAATGGAACGACTTCATGGGCCATGGAGGCGTGGCCAGCACCAGGAAGATGTCGAACGCGATGATGTATTGGCGCAAAAGATGCGGATTTATGGTTGGGTGAAAGAGCAGCATCTTGACATACCGCCTGTGGGCGCTCACGGCCGTCGGTTTCTGAACCTGGCGCAGCAGGGTAGGTCTCGATGTCCGTTTATGCTGAGACTGTTTCTGACACTGAACGAAGAGCTTCTGAAGATCAATGGCTACCGTGCACCACGTGATAAAGTGATTTGTATATTGAATTGTTGCAAAGTTATCTTCGGTGAGCAGCAGAACGACTAATCCTTGAGCATGTAAGGTGCATCACTGACGCCGATTCCTCTTGCAGGGTTGCTCAAAAATTCAAAACAAGCTGATACGTCAGCGGATTCATTCGTACCGCTTCTAATCTACGTCGTGCTACAAGCTCGCCCCGATCACCTGGTTTCCAATATCCAGTACATTCTTCGCTTCCGAAATCAAGATAAATTAGGAGGAGAGGCGGGGTACTACCTATCTTCACTGGTATGTCAATCAAACATTAATTGCTGATAATGTAGGCAACGTAGCTGATTTCATGAACAGTCAGGTGCTATTCAATTTATCGAGACCCTGGATCGGACAAGCCTGACAGTGAGTGACGAGGAGTTTGAGCGTAATGTCGAGGCCGCCGTGTCCGCTATTGCCGAGCAGAATCGCGAGTCTGAGTCCTTCGAGCCGAAAAGAGCAGAGCGTCCTACGGCGGAAAGCTCTCTAGCTCCATCACGGGTTTCAACCGATACACAAAGATCTGCGGTGCGGAGAGAGGCGCCGCAAACGAGTGACGAGGAGAGCGCACCAGTAGCAGGACTATTGCGGAGTATTCAGAAGCCCTTGTCAACAATCGGAAGGATCTTTTCGGACGAGCCAGATTCGCCACACGAGCGACCAATACAGCCTGCCGGCACCCCGCAGCCGGGGGCACCACCGCGACTGTCCCCTAACGTATATCAGCCGCCGCGTAGTAGTAGTGAGGGTCCCCGTAATGCGGCACAGCCGCAGTTGGCCAGGGTACTGGATGCGCAAGATGCTGCTGCACGTCAAGCGAGCGCCGAGGATGCGGAGGCACGAAGGATTCAGCGGGCTGAACACAATAACGTGGTGGAGACACTGTCGAACATGTTTCCGAATCTTGATCGCGACGTCATTGACGATGTGGTCAAGATGAAAGAAGGAAGGTTGGTTTTTCTATGATATAATGCAGAGAAGCATCGCTGACGCTGTTGCTGCAGGGTTGGTCTGGCCGTCGACGCATGCCTCGCTTTGAGTGCGGAGTAGGAGAATACTAGTGCTAGTAGGATAATTGGAAAGCCCGCATGAATTTCGAGGTGGTCATACTATGGCTTTGATAGCCATACGTCGCACCATGTCGCCTATCTTGTAGCTATTCAGCTTTTCTAGTCATGCATGTGCATATATTACTCGGGCAAGCTATGACCGCCCGAGTGCCGTCTCTAATGCATGGACCGAATGCTACTTCGAAGTCATCTATGTGCTATATCGCAGTACCTTCCCAATACTTAATCAAACCGAGTCGTCATACAACAACAATAGTATATGTATGTTGTCGAGAATGTCACGTGATTGTTCGGTCAATTGTCCACCCATCAATTAGTGGCGAATCAGAGTGCTCCAGAAGCACCTCGCTTGCTGCTAGCGGCGTTTGTCAGTCTCCACCACAACATATATAAATCTCCTCGAACCCCCATCTTTTAATATTTTTCTTCTTTCTTTTCTTCATACTTACCTTGTTTGGGTGGCTGCGATCAAGAAGGCGGTCCACCACGGATTGGTCCCTGCATTGCACAGCGCGGCGGAACAATCCGTTCAACGGCCTTCGGGTCATTGACAGGCGTATTCTTTGGCACTTTCCACCTTGTGGATATCATACTTTCCTTTTCATCAGTTCTTGAGCCAGTGGCTCGAGGGTGGAGAAGAGGTCTGATAAGGTGTGTTCTTCCGGCGAGCACGGAGCAATGTAAGGTAGTTTTCGTGCTGTGTGCGAGTCGCTGTCTGAAGGAGGGCGTGATTTGCCTGACAGGTTGATCCACAGTTGCGTGTACATACCTTCAATGGATCTTATGCGAAATAAAGACGCCATTTCGAATCCTGAACTCAATTTGAAGTAGCCGTACCACGAAGTAGAATTTCTATCTGGGATGGGTAAACCTCTGACCTCGCGGCTTGTGTTTCTGCTTTGGAAAACAAACTGCGCCACAGCGTACAGTGGCGAGTGAGTAGAACGCCTCAGCCACAGTAGTGTACAGAGTGACGTTGTCGCCACAGCTGTCAGTCAGTCGGTATCCACCACGGAGTACATAAACACACATCGTTGGCAGCTACAAAAGTATCAAGTCTACATCACTCAGTTGCAGGTACGATTGTTTGAACTACTACTTCCTCCTGTTTGTGTCTATCTATACGGACTACCGCGAAGCAATCTCCTCAGATCAAAGATGCCTCACCTAAACCCCCCCTCTAATGAAGGCAAGGAGCCATCGACTGGAACTCGGCCAACTGGCTCCGCCGGCTATGCATCATTAGACGCCCTATCCACAAGAGAAGGCAACGCCAGCGGACGAGTTTTCGGTACAGGCACCGGCGGCACAGTTACATCGCTGGAGTATTCGACCGCCCTGAATTCGGATGTCATGCAGAATGCGGAGAGCGATCGTGCCATGAGCAAGGAGGAGGCCGATAGGATGTACGAGCAGCGCATGGAAGAGGAATATGCGAAGAGGGAGGGTGGTGCTTGAAGCATACAGCGATGCTGACACTGCGAAATTCAATAAGAATCTCTTCTTCTTGTATTTATAGTTTCCTGAATGAGAATGCATATTATAGACGAGGCATTACCGTGCTGTAAATTATCCTCAATAATCTCGACAGGAGTGTGGCGTTGCGTTGTAGCCTTGTAGGTAGAACTGTGAAAGTCGATGCTGCGAAAAGGGAGAAAAGCGAAGACACTCCGTTTCGAACGGCAGCTACTCGCTATACACCATCAACATGGCTGACACTCGTACCTCCAAATGAGGTCTGTAAGTGTAGAAAAAAAAACTGGTAGCTTCTCTTTGATTGAGCGTGTCATCCTTAGTGCAGGGGCCATGCTAATCTTCTCTGTATCGTTTCAAATTGACCAAATGCCCGAAGGCAATTAGGTAGACATTAGAATGATTTATATGCGTTTCGAAAAGAGGCTTTCCGGCGATATGATTGGTCGGTAAGCGGGAGTGAACGGATCACCAAAACTTACCTTCTGTGGCCCTGGGACAGCAACGCAACGAGATCGAGGCACGAGCCATTTCAAGATTGAACCCTGGTAACTGTTGTGAGGCTATGTGGTCCTGCAAAAGTGGAGGTGTTACACAGTTGATCTTAGACTCCCCTATTTGAAGAGCCATGTTGGAGAGCAATATGAGCGGGATCCTCCAAGCCACAAAAGAAACGCAGGTAGCACAAGGAGAAATGCAGGCAGATGTCCATTATGATCCACAAGATTTTTTGGTCTTCTCCCCCGATGTGACTGATGCCTGGTGACAACTCACGAATGTGATTAAGGACCCTGAAGGAGCTGAAAGGGTTTTCAGGTGTACCAAAGTTGAGAATCTAGTTTGATTGAAGTTAAACTTTGCTTAAATGGGGCCTCGTATTCTACTCTTTCTCGCGATGTGATTAGCGCGGGAGGCCCTGCCAAGGAAACATCGTATCTTGGGGGCAGATCAACTTGTCCTAAAGTTCCCGTCTATACGAGCCTCAAGATCCATTTAGGGATCTGATCATCCACACGAAGTCTTTCTTTCTGGACTCCTATCCGTTCATTTGCTACCGTTCCCACTTTCAGGGCTTCATTCTCAAATAGATTCAGGGCTTGACAACTACGATTCCAAATTAGGACATCGGTTCGACTCCGTAGGAGCCATCTTGGACTCTTTTTCCCCATCGATAGTCAGGCGAAGGCCTACAATGACCGTCCCTGGTGCGCGATGATAGGCTCCCCGTTGGGAGCCCTTCGTCTGAGAGGCCTGAAGCAGTAGTTCGGTTGTTTGGGGCTTCAAAATCCGTTTCCAGCCGCATTCAATTCTAATAATAATATAACTTTAATGGCCATGGGCAGTATAAAGTCTCGTATCGCCAGTAGATGAGGCTGAATCGACGTGCGCAAACTTGAGTATTCTTCACGTTCTCTCCAAACTTCTTTCATATAAGGTTATTGTCGTCTTCCAGAAGACATATTTCTGTAGTTGTTTAATACAAATCGATCACATACTATCCTTACCTTCAGCACGACAGTCCTTTCGGCTTTCACCATGCAGTACAAGACCCTTTCCTTGCTCCTTCTGACTGCCACTGCCCTGGCTGCACCAGAGGCCAGGCCCGAGGCCGCCCCTGAAGCCGCTCCCGAAGCTTCTCCAGAAGATGTTGGCAAGAGACAGTATGACTACTACTCGAGCCTCATGAACGAGCTGAACAGCTTGTCAGTATATCCCCAGAAGCAAGCAAGCTGAACGATACTAACCGATCTTGTGGCCACAGGGCTGACACCAACAACTGGGACAAATTCTTGACCAACACTGACTACAACCAATACTTGACCAACACCGACTACAACCAATACCTGACCAACACTGACTTTGGCGGTTTCCCAACCAATACCGCCGCTGGCAACGTTCCTACAAACACCAAGCTAGGCGGCGCCCCGACTGACCTGGGAGGTCTCGGCTCCTTCTCCATGCCAACCGCCGCCTTCACCTACGACGGCATGCCTCCTCCGTCCATTGCCTCTGTGCTCATCACTGCTGTTCCTTCCTCATACATGGCTCAGTTGGCCAACCCCAGCGTTCGCTCATCCCTGATCCACGATATCCAACAGGGTCACTACCCTGCCTGGTACACCGCCCTGCCTAACAGCGTCAAGCAGTGGATCTCGACCAACTATGCTTCCATGACTGGTGCCGCAGCAACGGCCACCGGCAACTCGGGCTCTGGGTCTGGAGCTGGATCCAAGGGATCTGATTCCCAGGGCTCTGCGTCGAGCTCCAGCTCACAAGGCGCTGCTGCTGCTCCTGCTGCCACTGGTTCCATTGCCGCTAGCATTGCGGGTGCTGCTGGTATCCTTGGTCTTGCCCTGGCTCTGTAGGTTGATCAACATAGAGACTTGACTGGTTGGACAATGCTTATGCTTCGTTATCGATGATATTGGACTGGTTGATATGTTTAGTGACGTTTAATTCTTGAAAATAATACCTTAATGTCAAATTAACCGTTGCGACGGACTACCAATAAAACCATTGGCATTTCTGCCATCATTCCTGTAACAGTCCTATTTCAACGTAGTTGTAATGCTTCATTCTCACCGGTGAGGACCTCCACAGCTTAGACTGGAGGCCAGCCCTGGCATTAATCCGGTGTTCTCTCCAATCATAGAGACTGCAATATCCTAACCCCCAAGGTTGATCGGGACCGCTGCCACTAGAGATGAAGGGGGTACGGATTTGCATGCAGCCTGAAATCATTTGAAAAACAATCAACCAGTCGTAGACGATGCAAAGGTCATCTTCATGGGTCATTCGCCAATGAGACTTTGCGGTTTATCATAACCCAGACCACCAGCTGCGGGACATACAAAGTTGCGATCCAGATCTTCGATTGCTGACAATTACGGATGCGTTGATTGGCCGATTTCCACGAACCTAGAACCCCCTTGATGTATCAGCAAGAGGAGCTACACACAATTTGAATTCCTTATAAGACTCTAGGGATATTTGAGACTGGACGATAGATAAACGGTGTAAGCATCGCGTCTTAGAGGGCATTAAGTATATTAGTCCTCTGCTGTGACTTGTGATTATCACTTCGTCTCACTGTCAACCCGCGTCTGTGTCCTGCGAAGGCCTAGAATCGCCTCCTGACTCTGACGTCAGTGCCACTGATTGCCTGCAATACTGTATATTTCTCTTCTTCCTATTTCGGTCCTTCTGGGGCTTCAGACCCTCCAACCCATTCACCGTCGAGCTCATTTATTATCTTCTGAGATGGCGCTTTTATTTCTTAAACAAAAGCTTTTTCCGACCAAAGGAAAACAACCCCGATCAGATACCTATGGTTCGTTGAACGCGGCTATTTACCGAAGTATATACAACGCTAACCAGGCAACAGGCAAGCCTCTTTTATCAGCAAGCGATTCCGACACTCTAGGCAGCGATGTGGACCAAGATCTCGAAGCTCAAAGATCCTACCGTACTTTCCACACATCCCGAGCCGACTCCGACTCCGTTTCATCGAGTTCCTCTTCTCCCCGATCACGTATCAATCCGCGCATCATCTCGGATGCTATCCTGGGTCTATCCGATGGCCTCACTGTCCCCTTTGCGCTGAGCGCTGGTCTCTCTGCGCTGGGGAATACCAAAGTCGTCGTGCTGGGTGGTCTGGCCGAGCTGGCAGCTGGTGCCATCTCCATGGGTTTGGGTGGATACGTCGGGGCCAAGAGTGAAGCGTGCGTTTCTCGCTGACATCCGTATTCCCTGTGATTGAGGACTAACTGCTTACAGAGAGTCGTATCAAACGACGGTCCGCGAAACAAAAGAGTTGATTGAGACATCCCCCGTCGAGACCAGCGCCATCGTCCACGATACATTCTCCGCTTACGGCCTGCCGGAAGCCGCCATCTCGCAGATCAACGCGTCGTTGCATGCATCGCACGATCGTCTCCTTGACTTCCTCATCTCATTCCATCACAAGGAGACCCAGCCTGATTGTAACCAGGCTTGGATCTCAGCCATTACTCTTGCCCTGGGCTATTTCGTTGGAGGGTTCATCCCGCTCATACCTTACTTTATGGTCGACCAGGTCATCGTGGCGCTGTACTGGAGTATTGGTGTTATGGCTGTTACGCTGCTTGCGTTTGGGTACATCAAAACCTGCGTCGTTCGGGGTTGGAGCGGTAGGGACAACATCATTGCGGGTATCAAGGGTGGTGTGCAGATGTGCTTTGTGGGAGGCGTAGCAGCTGGGGCTGCTATTGCGCTTGTGGGCTTGATCGACCATGGTTCTGCTTGATTTCATGATACCACAGCCTTTGATTCTGTTTGCATCAAAAGTCTAGGGACATATAGACCGAGCGCGGCGTTTGGGACTGGGACAGGGAATGACACTTAATTTTATGATGACATGTACGATACTTGACTTTATACAACTCTCTTCAAACCACAAACATACCTAGACCAGGGTATCTTTCGACATAATTTATACTAGACACAAACCCATCACCCGCTCAAAGCCTTCTCAACTAACGCCCTCGCCCTGTCCGACATCTCAATCCCCAACGCCAACTCATGCCCCCGCTCCGACATCTTCCCCCACGTCTTCCTCAGAATCCCCAGTATCTTCTCCTCATCATGCCCCCTCTCAAACTCCTCAAACTGATCATCCAAAAACACAAGACAAGCCACATCCTCCAGCACCTGCGTTTCCTCATCCTTCCGCAGATCCTCCTTGCGCACCAACGCCGCCACCCTCCCCGCCTCGGCCTCCGAATACCCCGCCTCCAGACAGATCCGCTCCGCCAGTTCGGCCTGCCGTTTCGCGAGGTACGTCCGCCACGCGTAGTAGCCTGCTTTTGTGGCGGGGTACGAGTCGCGCGGCACCTCCCAGCGTTTGAGGTGCTGGGCGCGGATGGCGAGTTGGAGCGGCTCCGAGGGGTTCGCGGTGCGTTTGAGGAGGTAGGTGGTCATTTTGTTGGCGTAGTGCAGCTCGTAGGGGATTGTGTCATTGGCGGTGCTGTTGTCGGCGATGGTGATGCGGCGGGGATCTTGGGCGTGGGCTTCGTCGACGAGGGCGAGGGCTTTGGTGAGTTTGTCGCTGGGTGCGGTGGTTGCCATGGCTGGAGATTTGCGATTGTTGCTCGCGATGATGGTTTAGCGTGTAATGGTATGTGGGTGACAGAGATTGAGGTAGGAGATTAGGATCCCCAGGTAAGCACTCTGCAATATGTTGTAGATAATAATCGGAACCTTGGGATTGGTCCTCCTCTCCGCCCCGCTTGATAGCAATTAATCGACCTTGCCCCGCTGAGGGGTGAAAGGCTGAGTGTGAGAGCCTGAGGGTGGGACTCCTGATTTAGTTATATCCAGGCAGACAGTAAAGAGACTCCGGGCAAAACCATTCATATGCATTCATCTAGATAATGTATCACATTGGCGGCATCCTGGTGCCAGCGAGATCTCCCAAGCTATTGTCCGTAGACAGGAAAAGACGAAAAAGAATACACAACCTCCCCCGGGTCCCTCAAGAGAGAAAAGAGAAGTGTACCGCCATATCACCAGCATGATTGATGAGCCTAGACCAAACAGTCATCCACCGGGGCGACGGAAAAGGACAACTCAACGACGACAATTGACCCATCGAAGATCCAGCAGAAAAGCTGAAACGCAAAAGAAAACGTAATGAAATGACAACCTTAAAAAGCGACAAGAGCATCCGTTTCCGCAGCTGATTATTGCTCCCCACCGAACGCCGTCCCATTGTGAAAGCCGGGTATATCCAGCACCGTAATGCAAAAAAGGGAAAAAAAAAAAAATGTACGGAGAAGTAATAAATGGGGCCAGGACAAGGTCATCGGCCTGATATCCGACCTCAGCGATATCTCTCATCGCATGCATATTCATGTATATGCCACGGACAGTCAATGCCTCGCCCCCTGGTCTGGAACATCTCGAAGCCTTATTCACGAAGAGGAACATTGAATAGAAATTTGCTTTTCATGCCGTAGATCTTAAGGTCGTTCGTTTACCTCGCTCCAATTCCAAACATACCGACGCCGTAGCTACCGCCTCTATCGGGCAGCGGAGTCGAAACCTTTGGAACATGCTCCTTTAGGAAAACAAGAACGATCAGTCGTGTCCAGGACCCATTCTAAATGGCATGTGATCTTACCTTCTTTCGTTTCTTCTTTCCCATCCCTTCACTGTTGGAATAGAATGCGGCGTCATCATCGTCATCGGCATAGCCTTCGCCATACCCGACGAAGCTGTTGTCGTCATAATGCCTCTTGCGCCCGCGACTAGGACGAGCGCGTTCCGGCTCCGTAGGAAGAGGTGTTTCATTCGCTTGGCTAGGCGATCGGGCGGTATTATGAAGCGTAGCTGCTTTCTTTCCGTCCCCATGGCCCGCATGTTTCGATGGCTTCTCGTGACCCAAGACGTCCTCCCAGTATTCGTTATTTGGAACTGTGCCCGGCTCCATCTGCATCGCCTTCATCTGAAGGTTATGCAATGCCGAATCAACATCGGCGACCTTGATTTCCTTTCCGTAAACTTTCTGGTTCTGCCATTCCTCCTCAGGCCACATGGTTAGATGTCTGAGCCCGCCAGGAGTAGAGGGGTCGTGCTTCACGGGTTTGTTTCTCCCTGCGAGCCCCAAACCCTTCAGCTTGCCCTCATAAGACTTCCTGAGTCTGTTGATCTTCTCCCCAGTGACAGGATCCATCCTTGCAACCGATTTCGCAACCGGACCTAGACCATAAAGTGAGATGAGATCTAGCGCTGGGTCCGGGCCGGTCGCAATATGGGCTGTGATTGCATAGAGCACAATGTTAACAAATCTCAGTTCAATAAGATATGGAACATAGTGCATTGTAAAACGGCATATGTCGCGTAGAGAAGTCATCAGGGGTATCCTTACAGCTTTTGCAAAGATGGAATGTGGAAGAGAAATCCTGCTGCAGGGACTCTAGGCTCAGTCCATCGGATTTAGCAGAAGCGTTGACGTCTTTGTCAACATCCATGGCATCTGCATCGTCGCGTGTAAGTGGGACGTCCATGCCCGCAAAATCGCGGACATCTATCCCAGGAGTTGGCCCTTCTAACTCCCGATCGTGATCGGTTCGTCTGTGCTCTGACCGTTGTGTAGATGATGCATGCAGGCCTGTGGCAGTAGTTGCGCCTGAGTCTGCTTGCACATGCTCAAATGATGTTCCCGCGTGCTCTGAATCCTCGACGGAAGTCGGTCCCATGAAGTGGCCGCTCACACTGCTGGCCGGAGTAGGAAAAGAATTCGTCGGCCCTAGGGTCGGCTGCTGTGAGGTCTGTGTAGACATCGGAGCTGAGGAAGGAGGGGATGAAAGATTTGCAGGTTGTGACG